CATGGCATGTTCACAATTGCTGAGCTGGAACTCTGACAGAGAGACTTTATCCTTCACCTGATGTTTTATTCCCCCTTTCTTTTTTAACTCACAGAACTTCCTTTTATTATTCCATTTGCTTTACAAACTCTTACCAATTGGGGGGTCATCATTTTACCCTGAAAGTTTTTAAAATATAGTTTTGATTCTCTCATTCAACATATTAAATATGTTTGTATCGTTTGAAAAAAATGCAACAAAGCCGAAACCACAAGCCATACCACACCAAAGCCCCCCACCTGCCAATCACAAATATCAGCTTGCCATCAATGTTTCCTCAATAAGCCAACTGAATATTTTATTTTATTCTGTGTTAAATTGTTTCAATGTTAACAAAAGTTTTAAGAAATGTTTACTTGGTGAGTAGGGTGTTTGAGGACATAGGAACAGGCTCAGAGTCCCCTTAAGTAAAACGAAGCAAAGGTCATGCGGGGAAAGAACATCAGGTGACATGGAATTTATATACCAAAAAATATCATCTTTCTAGTGTGACAGCTTTAGTTAAAGATGATAGATAGATAGATGATAGATTTATTTCACTGCCTCTGACAATACACATAATGAAGAAGAATGTGTTTTGTAATATGGAAATCATGGGGGAGGGGCTTCCCGTTATAAAAAGGCTTCTGGAGAGAGGAAGTAGGGTATGTTATGCTTATTATCTCCAAGTTTAGGTAATCTGCTGCAATTCAAAATCTGCATACGTTGAATTTACCTGCAGAAGGAGCAAGGGGTAGCCACAGCAGAGGTTTACAAGAACCTGGAGAAACTTAAAACTTTGCTATTTAATGGTTAATCAAAACATTATAGTGTATCAGTTTCTCCTTTTCTCTTTAACTTTCTTGGGGGTCCTGCACTTTCATAAAGTAAGAATATACTGTTAGATATTATTAATCACTTCAAAAGCCCAAAGCAGGCTTTGAGAAAAATTTAAAACTTAAAATTTTATTTTCTTACAATTGACAAAAGCAAGAAAAAAAATAACAGAAGAATATTAAAAGGAATCTGACCATTTTCTCTTCCTACACTTTATTCTTATTTAAGACAGAATACATATGGTAAGGATCTACCACTTTCTGTTACTTCACCAGAAATCCCTAAAATTGGTTTCAGATACCTTCATCTGAAAAGATGGTATATTTATCATATAATTCCAAAGGAAAATAAATTGTTTTAAGCACAGTCATCAAAATGCATGAGGACAGAAATTCAGTAAGTGAAAATACACGTTTAAGTAGGCTGATAGCCTGCAAATGTTATCTGCTTCACTTCTCCAGTGAGAGATAATAAATATCTGAAGGCATTTTCTGTGTTTTAAAATAAATAAGACACTCTATGGAGTTTAACAAACAATTAACAAAACGATAATTTAGTATTACAGATGTCACTGAAAATCTTTCAGGTGATAGTATCAGAGACGAAACACCCACTTTATCAGCTAGAAAAGGAGGTATTAACTGATAACTCCCTAACACTCTCCTGGACGTTGGGCTTTGCAGGATTGAAACCCTTCCATCCTGTCCCATTTTGCCCAAAAATCTAGTCTATGGCAATTAGATTCTGATCACAGGAAAGGAAGAATCCTAGTGGTGGGGGAAGTGGCTCAAGTGGCTCCTCAGGTGGAGCTTTTCACACCAACTTTGGGGGTGCCAGCAAGGGAGGAGGTGAGGGTGGGTTGCTCCCTGATGAGAAGGATACGATGTGAAACCCTATGACCCTCTCGCAGTCTGCCCGGACAAGATGGCGCTCTGGAGCAGGCAAGCAGTTCACTGAATATAAAATCAAAGCATGGTGTAAGAAATTTGGACCTGGGGCAATGGCCAAGAAGTAAAACAGGACTAAAGAAGTATCACCAGATAACTGAGGAACTTAAAAACAAGGTAAGAAATTTTGCTACAGCTGGACAACAGAATGACACGAAAAATGACAAAATATTAAAAGATGGAGACCATTTTACACCGTTACCTGTACTTTCCTCAATTTAACCAGATTAAGGAACTTAACAAGCAACAGAATATCCTTCTTAGCTGTATTCAATTTTTTTTTTTCTAATTTGCTTACTTTTCTATAGTTCATGTCCTGGAAGGAATTATAGAAATGTTTCAAAAATACTTAAACAAAATTAAGCTAAGTAAATTGCCTGCAGTTGTTGTATCCTCAAAAGGAGAGACAAATGCTAGAAAGATATAGACAACTATTTAATGTATTGGTCCTTAAAGAACCATATACCTATAAAACTTCTGTGAACACCCTGACGCAGGCCTTGCTAAATACCAGTGTGCAGAAGTTCAAAATGTGAGTGCAACGAATGGTTTTTTTGTGTCCTGCTTTTCCATATATCAAATGCAACCATTTGGTGCAGTAACACCAGCTTCACGCTCCAGACTGACAGTGTAAAATGAGCAGCTGAAGACTTCAGACAGAAGTCAGGTGTGGTTACCTTCAACAGCACAATGGAAAACATAAGCTATGGAGAGAAGCAGTAGGGGACGCCAGGCTTATTTTTATACTGGAATCACAAGTGACAAAAGGAGTATTATTCTTTTTAGAAATAAATGAAATCCTAAAGATGGGAAAATATTTTAGCTGAATACACTAGAGAAGGCCATTATTTACAAAAATGTTATGGTGGTTCTGTGTTCAAAGAATCATTACCTAGTTTATAAGTAAGAACTTGTATGAATTAAGTATGTCTTAAGTGAGATTCCTAAAAGTACCATCATGTGTTTCTGAAGATTCTTTAACTCCCTTCTTTACATGTGTACAAGGCCCTCACAAACAAGAGGGAAATAGTGTGGCAACTGTGTCCTAAGAAATAAAAATGCTAGAGGGTTTTTCCTCAAACCTTTTAGTGTTTCATATGCAGTGCCATGGTACCCCCTCCCCCCAAAATGTGAAATGTGAATAGCAAATTATATTTACAACAAATATGAAACTGAAGCTTAGCATTTCTGGAACAGTCCTTTAAAAGATTGTCCAGAAGGGCGCCTGGGTGGCTCAGTTGGTTAAGCGACTGCCTTCGGCTCAGGTCATGATCCTGGAGTCCCTGGATCGAGTCCCGCATCGGGCTCCCTGCTC